AACCAAGTGCATCATGAAGTGGCTTACAAAATTTTACACACACAACAGAGAACCTGCGGAAGCCAGAACCTGCGTAAGGCAGAAACCTGTCGGAAAAGGAAAACACCAACATTTCCACCAAAATGAGCAACAGAAATGTGCTAAGACCGCACCCTGTCAGAGGTGGAAACTTGCGAGACGCGGAAAAACAACGCAGTCCCGTCGAGGATTCACTGTATTATGAAACACGGACTTAACTTTCAGGTCAAGTCTGACTTATTCTCCTAAAACCAAATCAGACTGGATGAGAATAATGCCCACACAAGAAAAAAGACATTTCTCACTGGACGGCAGTTAGGAAAAGCGTGCACGAATCGGTCAGACTAAGCACGGGGCAACGGGGCTAAAATCGATGCGAGGAGTCCGTCTACTTCTTCTACCTCATGTGACTGCTATTTTTATTTTCTTTAAAAATTTGTTTAATACACAGCAACGACAATAACAAACTGGCCACAGAAGTCGCTTGTGTTCTCTGATAGTGAAATAAAAATAAGAAAAAAGGAACGACAGCATTGTAATTTCTGTCGGCATAAATGAAAACCGGGTAACCCATAAACGTTTCCCAAACGTATTTACCAAGTCACCTATAAACTGGTTACTTTTCTTATATTTTAGATAATCGAGCGTGTGAAGAAATTTTTGAGGAAAACGTCTCTCAAGTGGAAAAGCAATATATGCTAAAACGATCCATGGCTGCTGTTAGAAGGAAACTTGAACACGCCAGCACCATCGAGAAAAGCTAACATCAAAACATGGGTGCGGGGTGAGGACCTGCTAAGTGTCCAGTCACTGCCCTCAGGGAGCAACACGTTTTCTCCAGTTTTATCCAGGTGCTGCGTTTCTCCCCCACTGGACTTCGCGGGCAAGGCAAAGGCTACCTGGGGGCTTGAAGAGAGGAGAGCTGTGCTCCGCTCTCAGAGGTGTGTGTGTCGGTTTTCCGGCAGGAGGTCCTTTATGGGTAACGAGAAATTCTAGCCATAAACTGGTACCAGAGCAGAGCCTTGTTGATTCTGAAGGTGAAGTAATGATGACATTGATTAAGCCATGGGGAAAAACACTCTCCTGGGCATACAGACGCCGTTAAAAATGAAGTGCCTTTTTGGATGCCTTATTAAACCCCTTACGAAAGTTATACCTGCTATTGTCCCCTGCCTTCTCTTCCTAATTCACCTGCACGTACCGGGGACAGAGACTGAGGAAGCAATGCTGCCTTTACAATTCTGACTTTTGTATTTTTGTTTCTCTTCTCCCTGGGTCTGCAGGAGCAAGGGGCAGGAGAAGTCCTCTGGTCTGAGATTCCCCCAGATGACCTGCAGTTTCTGTGATGACTGAGCACACAGCATCATCACTTCGCTGGCAATCATTTAAAAACGTTATTGCTCTGTTTATTTAAAATCTGACTTCCTGCTGCTTCTTCCTTAGTTTTGCTTTCTAGACAATAACAAAAGCTATGACAACCCTTCAATGACAACCTTTTCCAGTAACTGAAAAGAGTTATCCTGTCCGCTCCAAATCTTTATTTTTTCCCCATATTAAACACATTCTATTTCTTGAACTGTTCCTCATGGAAGTTTCCAGATCATTCACTGCCCTATAACTCTCTGCTACATATGCTCAAGTCAGAGTTCATTGTTACTGTTACTATTAAACAGCTACCATTTATCAAGAATCTGCTACATCCCAGAAAGTATTTAAATAAATGATCTGCTTTATCCTTTCAATAATGCCTTTTTGAGGAAAGTACTTTCATGCCCATTCTACTGTCGAGGAGGCTGAGGTTCAGAAAACGGAAGGGAGTTACTGCAAATCACACAGTTACAAGTGGATCGGTCAGCTCTCAACTCCAGCCTGGCGACAATGGAGGGTGTGCACCATGACCAACCGGGATGCAACACTGCAGCTGTGCTTTCTGCAGACAGGGACAGGGAACACTTGACGCCTTCTGGGAACGGAGCTCTGTACTTACACGGGAGCAGCCTGCGATTATGCAAACAGTTCTGACAGCTACGATGCACTGCTGCTTCATTCTGAGTTTGCAATCAACTTAAACCCAAAGATGAATTCTACCCAAACTGTTATTAAGCATGACCGTCCCCTCCCCCAAACACATTTCTATTTTGCACTTGCTCCTTAAAAATAGAGTGAAGCTTTGCATCCGTTCTTGTTAAATATTATCTTGCTAACTTTGGCTCAGCGTTCCACACTATCTACCCCATAATAAACCTGGATTCCGACAGCCGGCGGGGAGGGGGCATTAAAACCATCACCATCGAGTCAATTCCTACGCACGGTGACCCCACATGTTACAGAGGAGAACTGTGATCCATAGGGTTTTCTTGGCTGTAATCTTAACAGAAGCAGACTGCCAGGCCTTTCTACCGTGACACTGCTGGATGGGCTCAAACCCCCAACCTTTAGCTTAGCAGTTGAGCTCAAACCATTTGCACCACCAGGGATTTGACACCCGGGGCACAGGTATCTTTTAAAGCTGTGTATTACTAAAAAAAAATATCATTTAGCTGTTTCTTGTCCCTTCATACAAGTCTTCGATAAAAGTAGAGTTGAGAGGAGACCAAAAACTAAAAGACATCTTCCCGGGGCAATGTTTTCCCGTATCTGTTAGCCTACTACACCCTGCGTACTCTGCTAGCCAAGCTTTCTACAGATTGTATCACAGAAACGAGGCATCTGGAAGATGCTTTTTCAGCTAGCATGCCAGTACTACCTTGAGAATCGTCTCACAGATTCCTAACCCGTTTTCTTATTCAACCAACCAGTTACAAAGAATCCATTTAACATTACATGCCCCAATCTCTCCATTTCCTCCACTAAGATCTCACCCGTGAACACGTTTTTTTCTTCTACCAATGTCTGATGTAAAACTATTTTGCTAGCAAAGGCTTTATATCCCAGAAATCTGTCAAATTTCTAAAGTTCATTATAAAGGAAAACAACTGACCGATATCGCCATAGCACTTAAAATGTCTACAGTGACATGAAACGTCACTGAACTGCGTCCAAAGTCAATTACAAAATAAAAATTCTGTATCCCCACAAACACAGCAATTATCTATAACGAACCAGAAGCACAGCATATAAATGAGGTTTGGCAAAATGATCAGCAGTCCACGTGGCACAGCTGTCCCTCAAGCGTTTATTCTCCGAGCATGAAACACTGTAAACTTCCTTTTAGACTCTTCTTTGGAACACGCTGGTAGCCACGACTAGAGAGCTGTCAGTTTGCGGCTGTTTGCTGCCATCAAGTCGGTTCCAACTCATGGCGACCCCGTGTGTTACAGAGTAGAACTGCTCCATAGGGTTTTCTTGGCTGTAATCTTAATGCAAGCAGATC